TGATGGTGGTGATAATGATGACGATGAGAATGCTGGTGTTGGCTGTAATGGCCGGCCATCACGATCGTCGTCATCACTACTGATTCTGGATTCTTGGCAAATCGCAGGGGGGGTTGCGATTGGGCCACGAGCCGCCACACCCACAGGACTCTGCTGCCTGGGCTCTGTTCGGTAGGCGCATACGGGGGTCTTGCTTGACCCTAGAGCCCCGAAAGAGCCCCAAGCAACAGCGTGTGCAAGTTTCAAGCTGCTCTCCAAAACCCCGTGGAATTTCTCGCCAACACCCCCGCCCCCCCCCCCCTTTCAAGCTTGTTCTGGAATCGATGCAAAACCGAAGAAAAGGTTGGAGCTCGACGCTAGCCCAAACCTCTAAATAACCGTCTTAAGGTACGACTAGATTAGGCTCAGGGTTGTCAGGGCATAGGACCGTCCCTCATGGCACTGGCGGTGTTCTATGGAGTTTGACTTCGACGTCGGTCGGGTCCTCGTGCCCTTCGCGCTGGAGGGAGATGCGGGTGAGGGCACGCCCCAGGCGCGGCGAGCACACGTTCCTTGTGATTACTCACGTACTTGTTGCTCATCAGACTGTTCTTACCACTACGTTTCGGCTTCTTTGGCAGTTAAGGGTGGTGCGGCTTTCCGAGTAAAGTCACTATGTTTTCCCTAGTCTTGGACTCTGAATTTGTGTCTCAAACTTGTTAGAGTTTAAGGGTCATGGTCGAGTGTTTACGATAGAGGTTACGATAAGGGGTTCTTACTCCTGGCCCTGCTGTGCTTGGTGTGGGGATGCTTTGTCTTTTTAACTTGTGTCGTCTTGACTTTCAAGGACCCCAGCGCTTCTGGTAGAGTTCCGCCAAACCCTCCTGGCCTCACCGGTGCCCCTCAGCCCCTCGCTCTGCTTCGGCACTGCCGGTAGGTGGCGCGCTTGGACGACTCCGTGGGGACCTCGTTTTTGCGGCTTTGGTACAGGGGGCTGAGCCCTGAACCCGACTTGAGGTTTGGGGTTGAGGACGGTTTGATTGTGCAAAAGGATCGTTGTTGCCGAGTTTGTGTTCCTTCTCCCCCTAGGTCCTAGAGCGCCAAAGTCTTCCTGGAAGACTTTGGTTTGCTTCCTGGTAACAGAGTGTAGCTCACGTGGTGGCTAGATAACTGTCCTGTTGCATTTCGGCCATCGGTGTGGGCTTTCGACTGTCAGTGAATTCAAGCCATTACTTGGACTCTTGACGGCTGCTCGCGCCAGTAAATCCGATGCTCCAACCCCTAAACTCCAATGGCCAACCTCATAGTAGGACCATGCTTTACTCTCTGCCGTTCGTTAGGACAGTTGGCAACGCCAAAAAGACAAGCAAACCCCAACACCTTCGAGAGCTGAACCACCCTCAGCCCGCTGCCTGACGAAGGCGCTGAACGGCGGGAAGGGCGCAGCCCTTCGCGAGCTACTGGACGTTCTGGGCGAGGGATCCAGGCCCGCGGAGGTCTAGGTTGAGGTCTCAAGGCCCAGACCCGTGACGTCCTCCCTTTCAGGCGCGCCCAGGGCTTGTCAAAGCCCGTCACCACTGGCCGACCACTGATGTCGTTGCTTGGTCATTGGAGGTTTCTGGTCCAGCCAGGTCTCATTCGTTGAGCGAACACTATTTTCGAGAACCCCCCGCCTGCGCCAGAATTAGAAACGGGTGGACAGGGCATGAACTCAGTATTATATGTGAGCTTCTGCCTCCAAGGGAAAATCAGGGTATCAGGGTGTGGGTCTTGCGGCTTAGCAACGTGGTCTCAGGTTCAGCAAAACCTTGCGGTGTGGGTCTGGGGTTTGAGATTTTGCTGTTGTTGCTGTTTCAGGCAGTTGCCTTCGTATTGGACACACACACACACACGCACAACATCTTAAAACTCTAAGCAGCGCCTGAACCCGAGACTTCTCAAAGCCCAAGGAACAGAATCTATTTGCTCTACACGGGACGGTACGCCCTGGGTCTGCTGAAGGCCGGCATTTAGGTGTGTAGCACGGCCAACTACGCAGAGGTCCGGGGCTTCTGTCTTGGAGCCCCGCCCGATCTGATGAAAGTTGTGGTCTTCTTTTGACTGATCAGCTTCGGCGCTGCTTTGGTTACGCTTGCACAGGCGTGTGGGTTACATTGAGTTTTGCTGTGAATTTGTTTCACTGGTATAGGTCACTGGGATCAACTTGCGATCGAAATCGATTTGGTAAACGCCACAATTGCATGGTTTCGGGTCCATGCAGGCTTGACTTTGCCATCTTACGATCTAAGTGCCTGCACCAGAAAAGTCTCACCTCAAAACCGCCTCTGAAAAACGCTGCTCTGAGCCCAGGTCGGGACTAAGCGGCTTTTCGTGTCTCGCGGCGAGAAGGAGGCCGCAGAAGAAGTCACCTTGAGAGTTTAGTATACTTACAAAAGAGCTCGACGCCGCGTTTTCTAGAAAATTTGGAGTTAGGAGCTGTTCGTTTGGTTCATTTGACTCTAGGGGTTTTGGTAGGGTTTAGCTTTCAGATCTATGCTGGCTCATTGCATATACTAGAGGTGCTCTGATCCCAGCTAACTCGACAGTCTCGGTCTCACCCTGCCGGACTTCCGGATCCAACGGTTTAAGACCAAAGTTGAATCTCCTACCACCGCCTTTGCCTCCTACTTCTCTGCAGGCCTCTATCCTTGTTGCATAATCTGTCCCGGATGCCAGTCCAAGCCCCAACTATTTCTTGCACTTCTTGTCAAGAATCGTAAGACTGCCAGGAACCGTTAAGACAGGGCTGATTGCCATGCTGCCCGATTTCCTTGAGGTATCGTAACCGTATTGCTGCATGACTGCGGGGACGAGCCCCCCGAGCTAGCCCCACCTGCATCTTCCCAACTCCGGCCCTGAGCTTGGGGTTCTCAGGGCTTGGTTGACATCTCACCCACCTGCGTCTTGGACTTCTACGTCGTGGAGGGGCACCAGCGCGGAGGCCTGCCGTGCCGCGCTTTAAGAGTGTTCGAGATGGATCTGAGGGTCAGGCCAGGTGTCTTTGGATGTAGATTTTCGTGTCTCAGTGTATCCGCTCTTGCCGGTTGGTTTGTCTGATCTCCGACGAGCTGTGGTGCTATCCTGCAGCAGTTGAACCGATTAGTATATTTGCTGGACATTGGAATCTGTAGCTCCGAAGCCCGCTGCCGCGCACAATAAGTAGAGAAAAGTCGAGTTGTGGAAGTCCGGCAGCCAAGCTTGAACCAAGCACTGCCACCCAAACACAACCCAAAACGCGCGAGTTTCCAATGAGACCTCAGAGGCCTGGGCCGGCGCTTGTTCGACACAATGCTGCGATGCCACCCGGCTCAGTTCTGCAAACTACTGCTATGACTACTACTACTAC